ACTCACCAACACACTCACATGAGCAAGCACAGTAGCAACTGCTTTAAAACGAGCACTGATGAGTGTCGTGATTGTAGGGAATGACCAGATCGGCGATGGATCACAACCGAAGACGACATTCACTAGTTGCTTTTTACTTCTTTCGTCAACTTGATGGATGGTCAATGACGGCTACTTCCAATGCTGATGATGGTACAGCACGCAACAACCACCCTACTGCTATCTCTCTGAGATGATCACGTTGGTCATGACGAGAGGAGCAACACAATAGTTGGGTAAAGAAGAATTGCATTATAACACATCATCGACTAGAAATGCTCTCGCAAACGTGGGGCTTTAGGTAGTGATGAAACGTCGCTAGAACTATTCCACAGCCGCAGTCAGAAGGAGGACGCACATCTTTGGCCTGTAGACTTGAAGACATACTTCAAGTCTCCGCGTACATCGTACGGGTTAGGCAAAAGATGTGCGTCTAACTTCAAAAACTGTCGCATTAATGGCCCTTCGCTCATTTTCAACTTCTATTCAATTTTCATACTGCCGTACTCTAACGGAACTATCCACCTACCCTCTTCTAAAGATCATTCTCTAGCTAATAAATTATCACACTAAAGCTTCATTTTAGCATTTCCAACCAACTCCTTCAAAAGCATGTTTATTTTAACAATATAGAATTCAATCGTATTTGATTAGTTATTCAAACATATCTGTTTTTGTTTCAACAGAAAATATTTTTGAATAAAATATTCGTATTGATCTTAACGACACTTGTTAAGAGAGTACCCACGGTTATTTGTTGTACTAGACGCTAAGAACTAAAAACTTTAATATGAGTAAAGTTTACCAATAATCGGACAAAATGCACAAACTTTGCTTAAATGCGTTTATGGTATCTGCGTGCACGTATCAATAGAAATAAATTTTAGATTTTTATTAAATAATTTTACTCATTTTCATGTTAAATTTACCTATAAGTCTTAGTAAAAGAAAAATAGGTAAATCATCACCTGAATTCGGGTAAACAATTCTTATCGTGTCCTGCCTTCTTCCTGCTTGTTTATATTCGAAAGATTTTAGCTCCAGCTGTGAAGTCCATCAGGATCCGGAAACCCATGAAGATCCAAACGTTGCAGTATCGACTTGCTCGACTACCATCAAGGCGGATTTCGAGGTGGATTCCTTCAACCGATCCGTATCAATACTGGCTGGGTAAGCCTCACGTGACCGATTTATTTGTGCGCCGATACGAAGAAACCAATCTTTCGTTGAAGCTTAGTTTGCCACAACAATGGTTTCCACTGTTTTTATCCAACAATTGCGCAAATTGTCACTCACTTTAGAGCAACATTTATCTTTAACTGACTTCTCGAACTTTTCTGCCAGCTCCGCTAATCTCCCTGAAATCCCCACGGACTCCTTGTAGTTGATTCCGCCTTGCTGCGGCAGTGTAATTGAAACTCTTACTTTTCCCCCATTCCTTCTCTTTGTTGAGGCATTTTCGGAAAATGATATTCCGCGACGGAGCATCATCATCACCATTCCCGATTGAGTGAACGCGCGTGACGAATCGATTCAACCGATTGATGGCTATTTGCGGAACACTCGGGCAGGCATCGTTACTCATGCAAGCGTCGGAATTTCGATGTGCGCTATAAAAATTCACCAAGAACATGTCGTGGAATTTGTTGGTATCGAATATGGAAATCGATGCACGAACCAAAAAGGGTAATGCTTGGCAGTGTGGGATCAAGTAAGAATGGCGATGTTCGATAGCCCTGAGTGTACCATGTTTATGAATAATTAAATTAGAACATATCATACGGAGCGGGAAAATGTGTCCGGGTCATGTCGTAAGGCCTCAAGTCTCATCATGTTCTTCGTTCGAGCTAGTGACATGACCAAGAGATGGGATATTAAATAATTTATTGGCGAAAATCAAAAGCGCTCACAGATACCGATGTGCATATAGAGATATAAGCTAGGTACGATGATCCAAGAGGTCTGAGCTGTAGTGTAATGTTTCATTTTGATGAGCTTGAGCCCGTGGGAGGTTGTTCGCACGTACTGAACACCGAGCTGGCAGGGATGTTCAGGTTTCTGCTGCTAATGGCCACTGTCTGAAAGGTCTGACGTCCAAAATGAACAATCCAATGTTGTACACACCGTTCCCATGGGAGGCCAGGGGGGTATCAAACCCCGGGTCCGTTCGGACACGACCAACATGCGAAAGAAAGGACACTTTATGCTTATCGAACATTGTCTCATTAAAATTCATCGACTATGAGAGAAGAGCCTGAGTTGCGATACGGTCTAATGAATCAATTTAGGCGATGACACGTCGTCGTACGAGTTGAAATTGGGCTACGGAGGATGTCCTGCACGAGTGAAGTTTGGGTGTTGTAGCCCAACGGAAGGGATATGGTGCATTGATGTGAACTTAATTTGAAATTTTGATAGGGTCATGGGGAAGTTTGCCTTGTATCAGAATTATCTCGGCTGAATGTAAATTACCTGTAATGGGAGCAACGGTGAGGGCTCCATGGTGCCGATCCAATCGGTATGAATCTATTAAAGGAGATGAGTCCTTTCTTTGCGTTCAATGCAGCCTATTTTTTATGACAGTCTGTTTTCATACATATCACTGTAATGCTTCATCATGCTGCAGCCAGTTTTATCTGAACTACGCAAGAATTGTGTTTTTTAATATTCTACATTTTGAAATAATGCTCTCTGCGAATCAATCTCATAATGATCAGGGGGGACGGCCTTGCGGTAGTGGTTGACATCCATACCTTACACACCAAAGTCACAAGTTCAAATCTCATCGCCGGACAAGTCACAAATGATCTAAAATGTGCTAAAGTGACTAGATAAAAAAGATCCACCTAATGACCCTTGAACTTGATAATGGGCATCGTGTAAGCGAAACCATTTCATGTACACTGCAACGACCATGACCTGAGTGGTCCTAGAATGCAACCACGCTTACTCCATTACGGGAACATACAGGTGCCTTCCGACCGTTCGTTGATCGATAAAGGAAGATAAATGGGAATCATTTGCCTTCCAACCAACGAACAGGCAAAGGTAATTCTTCCCCAACAATCGACATCAGTGTCTGCGTATCTTCCGTTGGCTATTTGCAGGGAAATTTTCCACATTCACGTATGCCACCACATACGCTAAAACCGCACACTGCCGGTCCGGAAAAATGGAATCCGATTCGCGTGGTTCATGCAAGCAAAACCATTCACCTGCAATTACGGAAAGGGCAACTATTTCAAAGCGCATTTTAAATAAATCTTGATAAGCATTCGCCTTCCCGGTTCAGTATCATGCACGGGTCGGATGTGGAACAGAAATGCAAAGTAAGAGCCTGCTGCACCCACAAATGAGCAGCGATTTACAGGTTTTGTTTTGCTTTAAGTTGCTTCCACCTTGGTGAGAAAGTTGTGTGAGTTCACTTGAAATAGTGCTTTGACCTACTTTTTGCATGAAATCGATGCAGTGATTTGCTTAATTCGCCAAATTCTTTGACTGGAATAACTTACTACCGAAAAGTTTGCATTCAACTGACTAAGACAACTTCAATGGAGAGCGCTTACAAACAATTTAACGTACCCAACAAGATCCCATGGGATTAACAATTTGCGGTGTAATAAAAATGGTGAAACCCACACGCATGCCAGTTTATTTATATTATCATCTTTAGAACGCCGAAAAATACGACCACCTGACCCAATTTGTGGCTGCGTGTGGCAAGTCGAAAGCAGCCATTCGTGCGGAGGGAAACAAAGTGCCTCTGGCAAAGGCAATATTTCTTTGAACTTGTTACGCGAATTTATCATTTCTCAAAGCGAGCGAGAAGTAGACAACATACTCTTGACATTGAATTGAATTTCCTTATTTCATGTCTAAGGGCTCTTGTGACTATGTTGTAATAACTATCAGCAAGAATATAATGTCATCAAATTCAGTATCAACAATAAAAGTAAGATGTGAGATCTGCAAGATTTTTCACGGAAATTGTTTATCAGCATGAGAGACTGCCCGTGAAATACCGTTATTGCAAAGATCAGCTGTAATTGCACAGAAAACCAATAGATGGCGCTTGAGGGTAGCATTCATCCACATGGTCACGTCTTAAGGCAGGTCAACTGGAGAGAGGGCAGAAAAATGCTGGTGAGATACTCTTTTTTTTTTCTTTGATTTGTTTTCCGTCGATCCCACACCTGGAACCTACCTATCGACCCATCAACTCATGACTGGGATTGAACCTAGGCCTGCTAGGGTGAGAGGTAATCACGCTTACCACTACACAACCGGCACCGGTGTGATACTCGATTTATTGGCAGCCGAGAAGTCCTCTGCACTTCCAGTATGCTGCTGGTCATCAGTGTTGGAAAAATATCAAAAAATCAAATCTCACTAATGCCCAAGATCACGCTTGATTTTTGTAGATAAAAATCAACATTTTGCAAGCTATGATATCGCAGCTCAGAATATCAAGCTAACAAAACTCACCAACTGCAAATATCACCAATCTGTGGTAAGATTGAGTTTAATGTTTTTTTTGTTTTATACCCGAATGCAACCGAAACTTCCATAACGGCTGGCAAGTGTCCCTTCGTGTCTGCCATCGGTGAAGATTAAAAAGAAATAGTGTTGCCGATGCAACTAAGGTTAGAATAAAAAAACACTCCTTTTTAGCGTAGATTTCACTCGCTTTAAGCTGCAAATATTTATTATTTTAAGTAGATTTTAAGTAGGAATATCTATATTTAACTTACTTTTAGTTGTTTAAGCAAATTTTAATAGTTTTAAGCAAGAAAATATAAAAGTTTTATCGAATACAATGCAATTGAGATTCACGTTTCACAAAATATCGTCACCTTTTAATTTCATGTAATCTTCAACGAATGACAGTTGCGCTGACGGCTGTAGCGATGACAAGCAGCGGTAGGGCTACCAGATTCCTCGCTCGTCCGTCCGTTACGAGTTCAAGGGGACTGCGGATGGCTCGAAGCAGTACCAACATTCCCCGGCCCGTAAGGTTGAGTTTGGTCCTGTCCACTAGCCTCGACCTTACCATCTTCAGCTACCTCGATGACGGCGAGCTTCACTGCCGGACGTCGGATGACTCCTGCTTCCGTACGTATCAGGGCCTGTCTGGTAACACCATCTTTTCCACGAATAACCTCGACGATCTGACCTCGAATCCAGGTATTTCTCTTGTTCTCGTTGGCAACGAAAACCAAGTCACCCACTTCAATTGGTTTAGTGTCTCGGAACCATTTGGTTTGCCTGGCAATCGTTGGAAGGTATTCGCGCAACCATCTTTTCCAAAATCCATCCAGAATGTGTTGTGCCAGGTTCCAGCTGCTGCGTAGACAATCGGTGGCCTTCGTAGGTTCCTTAGGCAGTTGCTTAACTCCATTTGACCTACCCAAAAGAAAATGATTGGGTGTCAGCGCTTCTTGGCCGGCGTTGTCCAGCGAGATGTATGTCAAAGGTCTTGAGTTGATCATACTCTCGGCCTCTAGGATGATTGTCTCGAAGGTTTCATCGTCGGGTACTCTTGGTGCGGAGGCCATTGTTTCTATAGCGACCTTGACCGATCGCACAAGTCGTTCCCACACCCCACCCATGTGGGGTGCGGCTGGAGGATTAAAATACCATTTGGTCGTGGTATTGGTGAAGGTTTCGGCGCACTGCTGGATTTGATCTTGTAGCTCATTCGCGGCACCGCGGAAGTTGGTGCCGTTATCAGAGTATATCTCTGATGGGGCACCTCTTCTAGCAATGAATCTACGGATGCACATCTTGCAGGACATCGAAGACAAGCTATGTGCCACCTCCAAATGTATCGCTCGAGTTGTCAGGCACGTGAACAAGGCAACCCATCTCTTAGCGTGTTTGCGACCAACTTTGACTGTCACTGGCCCGAAGTAGTCTAGCCCGGTGTAGGTGAACGGACGAAGAAATGCTTCCAGCCTGGCCCGCGGTAGTGGGCCCATCTTCGGCGAACCCAGCGATGCGTTGTAAACCTTGCACATCTGACATCTAGCGGCGACTTTGCGGACCAGGTTTCGTAGACCTGGAATGTAGACCAGTTGACGAAGCTCATTGACTACCGTCTCCTGGTTACGGTGGTGACATCGACGGTGGTAGAAATCTACGAAGAGAAAGGTTACTGGATGGTTCGGAGCTAGTATAACGGGATACTTAGCTTCGATCGGCAGGTTGGGGGCGGCGCCGATACGACCATCCATTCGCACCAATCCCTCTTCATCGATGAAAGCTGACAATTTATACAACGGACTCGATACCGGCACCGCCCCCGAAGGCTTTGTAGAATGTCGACTCTGCAACACAGCTAACTCCTCAGGAAACGTCTCCAGCTGAACCATCTTCCACAGCTTCACTTCCGCTTTGCACAGAAGTTCTGAATTTATCGGTGTTTCCAACGACGTATCTTCGGTCATCACTCCTCCGAATTTGAGAACGTTCGCTGCAGCTTTTCCCATCTCGAAAAACGTTTCACATCGATCACAGGCTTTATTTTCACCCGTCGGTTAACGAGTACCGGGCAAAGATCTTCTGCTGCATCTGTTCCTTTCCAATTTTGTTCTGGCCAAAACTCCTCTGGACCCCATAGGAACTGTGGTCCTCGATACCATGGATCTTCAGGATCAAAGCACGGCCCGTTGCCCCACTTCGTTGCCTTATCCGCTACATTCTGCATCGTTGGTACTTTCTTCCATTCGCTTGGGTTGGTCGATGTCAAAATCTCTCCAATTCTGTCGATACCTGCGGGAATCGGAGTTGATCCAATGAAGGACCGTCGATGAATCGGTCCAGTAGAACCGTTGATGAATAGGAAGCTGATGATTCTCCAAAATCGACTGTGCTAGCCGGGTTCCCAGGATGGCAGCTTGCAATTCGAGCCTTGGGATTGATAGTGTTTTGATTGGAGCGACCTTGGCTTTCGCTCCTATCAGCGCACAATGCGGCTGACCAGCATAGATAAAGCAAATATACACTACGCAGGCGTATGCAGTGCTGCTTCCGTCGACGAACGTGTGAAATTGCAGTGGCTGGCAGTCTTCTGGAACAGCGTCTCCAAAATACGACCTTGGAATACGGACATCGTTCAGCTTTGGCAACAAGTTTATCCAACGCTTCCAATCTCCGAAAATCCCGTCATCTATCAAGTCATCCCAGTCACAGTTGGCTCGCCACAAGTCTTGAATGATGATTTTCCCTTGAATCACGTACGTGGCGAGAAATCCAAGTGGGTCGTACAGACTCATAACCGTCTTCAAGATCTGGCGCTTCGTAGGACGAACTGAACCGTCTAACAAACCCTCCTCTGTACCAGGCATGTAAGCGGAGAAGGTCAGTTCATCTGATTGTGGTAACCAGCGGATACCCAGGACAGATTCTGCAACGTTAGATTCCTCTGAATTCCACATCTTCTCCTTCGCAGCATTTCTTTCTCCAAGTCCTTCCAGTACTTCTCGGCAATTTGACATGAAGTTTCGAATTTCAAATCCCCCTTGGCTATAGACGTATCTGACTTCCTCGGCCAAACGAATGACCTCCTCCACGGTATTTCCGCTGTCCAGAAAATCGTCCACATAGTGGCTATTGATGATAGCTTCAGCAGCGTTCGGGAACTCTAGTGCATGCTATTTCGCATTTAGATTGTTAATGTATTGTGCTGAGCATGGGGAACAGGCTGCTCCAAAAATCCCCACATTCATCACGTAAATGACGGGCTCTTCGGATGAGTCTTTTCTATGCAGGAACATCTGCGACTTCTGGTCTCTCAACGCGATCTTGAACTGGTGATACATTTCTCGTATATCCCCCGTGACCGCGACGCGTCTCTGCCGGAATCGATACTGCACACTCGTTAGTGGCGTCAGCAAATCGGGACCCTTCAGCATCATTGAGTTAAACGATGTACCTTTGACTTGAGCGGCAGCATCCCATATCAACCGCAGCTTCTGTGGTTTCTTAGGATTAATTACCACTCCCAGCGGCAAGAACCATATTCGATCTTGATCATCGGAACACAGATCATCCTCCGTTGCAATACGCGCGTAGCCCTTTTCCAAATAGGCGTCCACCTGATCGTGGACTCGCTTAGCCAGTTCTGGAACCTTTTGAGTCTTCCGCTCCAAACTCTTCAGTCTGCTTACAGCCATAGGATAGCTGTTGGGGAAGTGGACCTCATCACATCTCCAAAGCAGGCCAGTTTCGAATCCACTTGGTACACGTCGAGTTGTTGATTCGAGAATTTGTCTGGCCCTTTTGTCTTCTGCCAATTCAAGCTCAGTAGTCAATGGAGTGACACCGAGACTGTCCGTCAGGAAGTACTGCTTTACCAGGTCATGCAACTGACGATCTTCAGTCATACGGCTGACGTGGAAAACTCCTCGGAAATCGTCTGGTTTGGTAGATGCTCCTCCGTAGACGCACCACCCTAATCTTGTCTTAGTGGCGATTGGTTGACCACGTGCTCCTTCACGAATCTTCAGCGGAGTGGACAAGTAGAGGTTTTCCAGGCCGATTAGTAGTTGCGGACGAGCTTCATCGTATCCATCAATATTCAAACCTTTGATGTACGGAAAGTTATTGATTAGTTCATCCGGGTTGATCGACTGAACAGGAAGTTCTAACTCTTCTACGGTACGTGCGTTGACCACGTCGTTTCTTTTGCTTTCCGGAAATCTCCAGCTTCACCACGCAAGACTGTTCCTCTACTCGGGACACATTTCCGGTCCAGCGAAGGTGCAATGGATCTGGTGAACCCTTGAGACCCAGTTCGTCAGCCAAACTCTTCTCGATCATCGTTACCTCGGAAGCCTCGTCGAGTAACGCAAATGTGTTAATGAAACCAAAAGCACCATGCACCGTAACAGAATGCGATATAATACGGTCTGACTGACGGAGTGGAAATTCTGTGAGCTAGCTGCTAATTTCGACTGTGAAGGGAAAGAGTGGAGCAAGGGATGGTGACGTAGTCGACACCCGTCGATCGTACAATCCTTGGGTCGTCGACAGGGATAAGGAAGGTGATTCCTCATACAGGATCTGCACAAATTGTGCTGCCGCACCATCTTCCAACGTTCATCAGAATTCAATGCTTTGAACTTACCGCAACTATCCACTCCATGGCCTACTTTGCTGCAGATCGGACATACCTTTTCCGATGGTGTTTGCTTCAACTGGTCATCACCTGACGCACGAGTATCGCTGTGGTGATTGACGAATCCTCGAGCCTTCGCATTCCCGCTTTTCTTCGTTTCATCTTTCGGTGCCTTTGCCAAAGTCGCTGGTCGATACGTTGTTACTTCGCTTGCTTTCCGTACTATATCCGCCATAAACTGCCCGAAGGTGTCCAGACTAACTACCGGTACAGGATCCTTGAAGTCCACCCACTTGAGCTTGATCTCCGACGGAAGCTTCTCGACAAGCTCATGCAGCAACGATGGATTGCCCAAATGGGCTTCAAGATTCGCTGCAACTAGGTGATCGCAATAGTTCTGCACCGCCATCCCATAAGCGATAAGTGTGTGTAACCTTCCTTCCTTCGGGGATTGCGTATTTCGGATCTTGGCCAATAGCGAGTTGATCAGCACCTCTGGCCTGCCAAAGAGCATTCGCAGGGTGTCAATTACACGTGGGACCGCAGCAGGAAGTAGAAGCCGACTCCGTACTGCTTCTAGTGCATCGCCTTTCAAGCAGCGCTGTAGGCGGATAAGATTTTCTGCGTTGGAATACCCGCATTCTGCAGTAGAGTTTTCATAGTTGCTAATGAAAACTGGCCAGTCCTCCGCGTTTCCGGAGAAGCTGGGCAAATCCTTTGGCAAAACCTGGCGAGCTGCCAGTTGTGAGTTCGTCAGGCCGAATGCTCCACGATTGGGTTGCATAGGTGCCCGTAATTGGTCTGGGCGTGTTCCTTCCCTAGGGGCATTCGAACCTGGATTTGGATGATTTTCTTCGGGAATCCTGGGTAGACCCGGTGGCCTGTTGCGTGGAATATCAGGCTGTCTCTGGTCACGATGGTCAGAGGGCCCCGGCCCGTCATCCCGGATATGCGGACGCTGTCCTCGGTCCTTTGAGGTTCTGTCAGGAACAGGATCTTCATTCACTTTGTTGCTCGCTTTTGGTTTCGTCCCGGTGTACCGTTCCTTACCGGATTTTCCCATCGGTAGGGGAACTGGAAGTACCTCCGGTGGGTTGGAGTTTTCCTTTTCGAGGTTGTCCACCCAGTCTTTTACCCTTTGCGCGCGAGGTGCGTACAATGTTTTGTGTTTTTCAGCAAAACCCATCTGCTCCAACTTCTCCCGGAATTCTTCACGGCGTTTCTCCTCTTCAATCCGCATCCTATACAGGCATTCCCGTTCTGCGTTTTTGGCATTCTGCGCACGATCGATTTTTCGACGATCTTCTTGGTTCCTCTGCTGGTGATCTGGAAGGGCTTTTGCTCCATCAGACGATTGATCAAAACTAATGCTGCTCATTGAGCTACATCTACCGACTGATCCTTCCAGTTGGGCGTTCAAAATCCGATACTGTTCGGCGAGATACTTCTCCTCCAGCTTCCGGAGCAATTCAGAACGGGATTTCTCATCGTCCAGTTTCTTCTTCGCTAGTGCTTGCTCCTGCTCCTGCTGCCGACGTTCGTTTTCGAGCCGCTTTCGCTCCAGTTCTGCCTCCCTTTTGCGTTGCAGCCTTTCTTGTTCTTGCTGATGACGTTCTTCGTCCAAACGACGGCGTTCGAGTTCCGCCTCCATCTCACGTTGCAGCTTCTCCTGCTCGATGCGGGCTTTCTCCAATTCCGCCTCTTGCTTTCGACGCTCTTCCTCCTCGAGAACCCGCTGCAACTCCAATCGCTTCCGATCCTCCAACTGCTGCAATTCCAAAGCGGCTCTTGCTGCACGGGCTGATGCACGGGTGCTTACCGTGATCGACGAACGACGTGAGGAAACGGAATTCTTTTGCCGACCAACCGGTGTACTGGCCGCAAGCAGTTCTTTACTGCAACCTGGACAGGTCCAAGAACGATCCGCTACTGAATCTCCTACATGTACACACTTGTAGTGATACCACATATCGCATAAATCGCATGCGACCATACTTTCGTCCTCCGGATCTTCACACAGGCCACATCGCACTGCTGGAGCGGAAGCCTTCGTCTTCGGCATCTTGGCCGGATCGTTCGAAAACCACCGAAATTAACTATATTCCGTAAACCTTAAAGAATGTTGCCGATGCAACTAAGGTTAGAATAAAAAAACACTCCTTTTTAGCGTAGATTTCACTCGCTTTAAGCTGCAAATATTTATTATTTTAAGTAGATTTTAAGTAGGAATATCTATATTTAACTTACTTTTAGTTGTTTAAGCAAATTTTAATAGTTTTAAGCAAGAAAATATAAAAGTTTTATCGAATACAATGCAATTGAGATTCACGTTTCACAAAATATCGTCACCTTTTAATTTCATGTAATCTT